TTTCTTCTGTTAGACAGGACAATAACTGTGACTTCCTTGCAAATCCTAATAATAATAGGTTTTAATCCTTGTAAATCACAGAAATACTGCCGTTTATCTTTGCAATTCCCATTAATAATAGCTTTTAAACCTTGCAAATTCCCAAAAATACTGTTCTTTATCTTTGCAATTCCCGTTAATAATAGCTTTTAAACCTTTCAAATCCCCCAAAATACTGACATTTATCTTTGCAATTCCCGTTAATAATAGCTTTTAAACCTTGCAAATTCCCCCAAATACTGTCCTTTATCTTTGCAATTCCCGTTAATAACATCTTTTAATCCTTGCAAATCCCCAAAATACTGCCATTTATCTTTGCAATCCCCGTTAATAATAGCTTCTAATCCTTGCAAATCCCAATAATGCTGACTTTCCCCGAGCAGAAAGCAGATTTAGGCATCGTCGACTTCACGATCACATACGAGCGAGAGGAAGCCGTGGATTTCAGCATGCCGTTCATGAACCTCGGTAAGTAGTCTTGATTTTATTGAATCTTCGGTTTATTTATCTTGTTTTCTATTTGTTTGTTTGTTGATTTGCTTGTTTATTTATCTATGAGTTTTTAAAATTGATTTATCTGTTTATTTATTAATGTATTTTTTTAATATTTATTAATTTATTTGTTTGTTTACTTTTTTTACATCAGTGATAGAGAATCGAACTTCACGTAATAGTGGGATTGGAATGTATATCAGGAGATGCTATTATTTATTCAGTTAAAGTGTGTTGTAACTTAGATATATAGTTGATTGGTTTAGCTGTCTTTACCAAGTATTACCTTTATTGGTATTTTTTTTTCTTCATCGTTTTATGAGGCAAGGAGTTTCATTATCATTATTCGGCAAAAATATAAGATTAATAAAAATAAAAAAGTAATGGTAAAGATGTTTAGGAATGATGATAAAAGTAACAATAGTAATGATAATGATGATGGTCTGCTACAACTACTACTGCTACTACTAATGATGATGATCATACTGATAGCAATAGCAATGATAATGCTAATGATCAGGATAATAATGATAATAATAATAATAATATTGATGATAATGATAATAATAATAATAATAATAATAATAATAATAATAATAATAACAATAATAATAATAATAATAATGATCAGGATAATAATGATAATAATAATAATAATATTGATGATAATGATAATAATAATAATGATAATAGTAATAATAATAATAATAATAATAATAATAATAGTGATAATGATAATAATAATAATAATAATAATAATAATAATAATAATAATAATAATATCATCATCATCATCATAATCATTATTACTACTACTACTACTACTACTACTACTACTACTACTACTACTACTACTACCACCACCACCACCATAATCCCCCCACTCATCCTCCCCCTCTCCCCCTCTCAAACTCACCCCCCCCCCATCTCCCATCCTCTTATTCTTTCTCTCCCGCAGGCATCAGCATCATCTACAAGAAACCGCAGAAGAAGGCGCCGAGTCTCTTCTCCTTCACCTCCCCCTTCTCCCCCGACGTCTGGCTGTACATGGCCACGGCTTACCTCGGGGTCTCTGTGCTCCTGTTCATCTTGGCCAGGTCAGGGGAGGCGTTTGAGTTGGGTGGTGTTGCTGTTTGTTCTTGTGGGTGTTGTTTGTTGTGGGTGCTGTTTGTTGTTATTGTGGGTGTTGTGGGTGTTTGTTGTTTGTTGTGGGTGTTGTTATTTGTTATTGTGGGTGTTGTGGGTATTTGTTGTAGGTGTTGTTTGTTGTTATTGTGGGTGTTGTTTGTTGTGGGTGTTGTTTGTTTGTTTGTTTGTTTGTTGTGTGGGGGTTGTATGTTGTTGTTTTTGTTGTGGTTGTTGGTGTTTGTTGTAGTGTGGGGGTTGTATGTTGTTGTAGTTGTTGGTGTTTGTTGTAATGTGCGGGGGTTGTATTTTGTTGTAGTATAGAGGGAGGGAGGATGTTTGTTGTAGTGGTTGTAATTTTTGTTTTTATTGTTGTAATTGTGGCTCTTGTATTTTTATTGTAGCTATAGCTGATATTCTTGTAGTTACGACTATCTTACTTGTTCTTGTAGTTATGGTGTTAATTCGTGTTGTTGTTATGATTGTTCCAGCTCGCGTTGTAGTTGTGAAAGCTAAAGAGCAGTTAGTACAGTTGTGCCTGTTATAGTAGTTGTTAGAAGATCAAATGAACTGAGTAGTTACAGATTCAGTTGCTGTTGCAAAGGATAGGGTTATGGCGACATGCTGTTGCTTGGAAAGAGCTTATGTTGGTGGGAAAGAGCTTATGTTGGTGGGAAAGAGCTTATGCTGCTAGGAAAAGAGCTCATGTTGGTGGGAAAGAGGTTATGTTGCTAGAAATGAGCTTATGTTGGTGGGAAAGAGCTTATGTTGCTAGAAATGAGCTTATGTTGGTAGGAAAAGAGCTTATGTTGGTGGGAAAGAGCTTATGTTACTAGGAAAAGAG